GAAGAACATAAAATATAAGGGGGCACACCCCCTTATATAGAAAGAAATCCTCCCCTGATCACTAATACAAAAGAAAACTCTTGGCATGGTGCGCAGCCGCGATCCTTCCGTCAGGTTCCACCAGTCTCCGTCGCGCGGCAACCTATCCCAATCATAACATGAAAGAAATCCTACTACGCAACGTAGGAAACCCCAACCAGTATATGCAACCAAAACCCCAATGCCCCTTTCCTATATCGGGCCAGGTGGCCGTGACATGATACTAACAGGATAAATCAATGGTTAAAGACAAGTCAAAGAGACTCTGGTAGTAGTAATTATAGAACTAACAGAGTAATTTAGGAGAATAAAGAGTAGTAGAACTAATTGAAGTGGGAGGTTTATTCTGATAAGAAAAGATACATGGAAATTAAGCGAATTTTGATTACAGGAAGAGGGGTTGCATATCACCAATAATGTCTGCTATGTGGAAGGAATAGGGAGTAGCTAAACTTTAGAATTGATAGTAAGGGTGAAAATCATTCCCCATACAAAAAGTGCTGAGTAAGTTATGTTTTTTGTTTCACATTCTTCCTATTGGAATCACATTTCTAATAATTTAAAAACTCATAATAGTAGGTAAAATATTATATGCAAGGCAGAATTCATAAACTGTTCCTTCAGAAATGCCTTGCACATAGAGCAACTTAAGAAGAGAGATTAAAGAAGGAAGCACTACCATCACTGAGAGAGGGGGTTGAGGCAAATTTGAAAGGTAATACATATTGAGTTACCTATTGGAGGTAATTTTAATCCATAAAAGCTACGTTAATAGTTACTAACAATATGACCTAATGGCAGATGACTAATTAGAAAGATAATGATATTCATACTGACAGGCAGGGAACATTCAAGAAAACTTTGCTAGAGATAGAAGTAAATAGTTCTATCAGAGCTGCAAGGTTTGTCATATAAGTATATTCTGCAGAGTTGATTGGTGAGAGAATATATGGATGAATAACTTGAAACAAACAAAACATTAAATCTTGTTAGAGTTAGTATGGAATGCTTGAGAAGCAGCCATAGAATGAGTTAAATTTAGTTTTATACAAAGTTATCATTTATCAAAAACATAGTATTTAGTGTGATAGGAATAGGGAGTTACCAGACATTAGGATTAATAAGAGGGGCTATTCTTATTCCTCTAATACAGACTATGAGGTAAAGTATATACTGCATCTTCTACATTATTCATATCAAAAATTGATTTCTAATAATTTTGAAACCAATAATAGGTAACACAACATACAGTCCAAGGTAGAATACAAGAAGTATTTCCAGAGAAAGGCCTTACAGGCAGAGTGATATAAGAAGAGAGACTAGAAGAGTAATTACTTTACTCTATTGGAGAGAAGATAGAAGGAAAGGAAAGGCAGTCTATATTAAGTTATCTTTTAGAGGTATTGTAATCCAATGAAAATAGCTGCTGTGGGTACTGACAATACTACTAAATAGCAGTTAACTCATAGAAATGATTGCGATATTAATGTTATTACTAGGAGCTGGTTTAGAAAGACTTGGATACAGAGTGAATTAGTAGACACTATTAGTCTGGCAAAGTTTATCAGGTAATTTTGTTCTCCACAGTTGATTGGTAAAAGATACATAGATTAACAAACTCATAGAATATTAGAACTTAACAAAATGGGGATGGATTGCATAAGAAGCCGCAATAGAATAAGTTGAAGTCAGTTTCAGAAAAAGCAATCATATATCAAAAATACTGTATTCAGTAAGAAAGATAGCCCGTAGCACAGGAAGTTGCTTCTTTGACATTGCTAGAAGAAGCAATAGCAACTGCTGATATAGGTACAATTCGATAAG